GTGACTTATAATTTAGAACGTGGGGAGTATATACGTAGCCTAACACTTCAAAATCGTTTTTACGTTTTTTTTTCTTTACTTGATAACTAATGTTTACCTTTTGTCGCCTTTCATCGCTTAACCCTCTGATCCTGTTATTAGGTTCTGAAGAATTGTCTATGTAATCTGGTTTTGCATTTGATCCATACACATCCTCGGGCCGAACATATGCTGTGTAACTGAAAAATTGTTTTTTATCAGAACCAGGACCATTGTTCTTTAATCCTTTTGGTGGAGCAGTTTGATTCCTCGAATATGGAACAGGCAAAAGTATTGCGTAAAACTGCAAAAGGCTGGTGGAAATGGGCCACAACGTTACTACGATTCCCCGACTTGTTCCCACGAGCATGATGACGATGTTGTGCACCTGAGCTGGCCGTCCTATGAGCAGCCGTGAGAAGGACTCCGGGGTCCCTCTTGAGTCTTAACCCATGTCGTTCTAGTACTTGGTTACGACGCAAAACAAGTAGCAACGACTGTGGGCCCGTGACACTCGATTCTCCTGAAGAAACCAGCGTACCCGCCTCTGCGTGCTATCTATGGGCGACGATACTAATGGGAGCGCATAGCTGGATGTGATTCTGATGGCAGTAACAGTACTAGGCGCTCTCATCAGTCACTACCATGATCTAGAAGGATGCGATGCCTCATGTCGCTTTCCAGGGTTAATTTGAACAGTGCCTATATAATTCTGCGGTGTCATTATAATTCTACGAGTTTAGAGAAATATTATTACTATTCATGATATTGAAAACGTACCATTATAATTTTATAGGTCTTTGAAATATACCACTACTTACCCATTCGACTTATTTATCTGAATTTTTAGATCAAATTGCCCTCTCTTCCTCCTTGCTCCCTCTCTTTTACAAGCTAGACACCGCCTATACATGGCCGGGGGCGTGCAGCGCCACACCTCGCTCGTGTGTGCCAACCTCGCAGCACCTTGCTTGTCGGCCCACCATTGCGGCCGCGTCGGCACACCAGCCCCGCGCCTCCCACTGCTCACCGGTTCACCACCATGGCACATCCACGACATGCCGGCACGTCGGCACCAATGCGTTGCGAGCTGGCGCCACGGCCACGTGCCCACGCAGGCAAGCCGGAGAGCCGCCGCCGCGGCCACCCGGGCGCGCGTTCGAGCAGCAGCCGCCGCCGCTATCGTGCAGGCTGTGGTCGCCGCGCCAGCCATGGCCCTCGGAGCTTTTCCACGCACGCACGCCGCCTCGCGTTCGCCTCGGCTGCTAACCATGGCCACGCCTGCCGCGCACGTGCACCAGCGGGCGGACTCCCGCACCTCGCTGCTCGCCTAGGCCGCCATACTGCTGGCTGCGCCGACCTGCAGCTCGACCACGCCAGTGTCTGCCACCTGTGTCCGTCTCGCACACACTGATTGCGCAGGCTATGCTTGTCGACCCACAAATCTTGAATGCTGGTTCAGCTTGAATGTGTTCCTGATGATGAAACTGATGGCCTTAAAACCTTACTAAAAAAAATCTACATGGCCACAACGACCACGCGCTGGTTAGCTCGTACCAAATGGAAGAGGGAGCAAGGAGGAAGAAGAGGGCAATTTGGTCTAAACATTAAGATAAATGAGTCTGAAAGGGTAAATAGTGGTATATTTCAAAGACTTTTGAAATTATAATGGTATGTTTCTAATATAAGAATAGTAATGGTATTTCTCAAAACTCGTAGAATTATAATAGCACCGTTCAAATTAACCATCCAGGGGGCCGTGTCTGATTCGTTCTTCTTATTACGCCCCAACTTCTTGATTCCAGAAGCTGGACCACGCACTTCTTCGTCTCTGGTCTAGACGACTCCCTGCTTTTCCTGACCGAATGAAATGGACCTTCGTTGTCGTTGGCTACACATACACGGACGTGGATTGTATATATCCGTAGCACGTTTTGGGCTTCTGGCTACCGGGAATGGACCTGCTGGGACCCTGAACTTTGACTGTGGTCGCATGCTTCACACGGCTCGCGTTATCCATGCAACGATGCTTCGTTATCCATGCAACGATGCACCTGCGAGTCTGCGAGTTGTTTACTTCTGATATGTTTTGTATTTCCCGGCGGCGTCGTACTCGCGCACGGTGGCCGGTGGGTGCATCGCGCGCACCGTCCATTTCTGAAAAGGAGTCGCGCAGTCATGTGCCGAGATGCGCGAGTGCCCGGCAACCACCGCCCAATCCACGCGACCCGCTCGTGAACCCCAGCGCCGCCTGTTCCGTCTGAAACTCTGAAGACATGATGCGCCAGTCGGCTTGGCAGCAAGCGTACCTGCAACCGGTGTTAGGGTTACCGACTCTTATTTTATCCTATAATACGCCTCATATGTATGGTATTCTCAAAAAATATACGATAGATAGAGGATTAATATCTCAGAGGTTTTGATTTCTATCTCTTTCATTCGTGTGACATCTGTACAACCTTATAGCTCATCAGTGAAGATATTTTAGAGATTTTTCTCTACCGTAATGTTGGAAGCAGACGTCCGTCCAGGCTGGACGTCCCTCGGTGGACCCCGACGTCTAGAAGGCTATCTTATCCGTTCCTATCTGCTCCCTTCCGGTCACTGTAGTTTATATAAAAAAAACTCACATGTCGAATCCTCCTCCTCCTCCGCGACCGCACAACTGAATACCGCTGTGCCATGGTCCGCCCGTCCGCCTGCTAGGTTTTACTGAAAGCGCATGTTGTAAGCGTATGTTTCAAGTGTTTCAGATGTTTCAGAGGTATGTTGCAAGTGTTTCAGATGGATGTTGCAAAAGTAGATCGGGATGTTGCATATGTTGCAATGGTTGTACACGTATGTTGTAAATGTCTGTTACTAATAGTTCATCTATGTTTTTGGACATATGTAGTGTGTTTGTCTGAATGTTGCATATGTTTCACACATATGTTGCAATCGTTTTATCTAGATTGCGTATGTTTGCAATGGTTTTCAAGTGTTTTCAGGTGTTTTTTCAAGTGTTTGAAGCATGTTTCAAATGCTTCATCATCTTCTTTTTTTGTATGTTGCAAGTGTTTCATCAGGATGCTTTAAAAGTAGATCGAGTGAGTGTAGTGAATCTCCATTTGGTTGGTGGGGATTAGTTTTTTGGCAGTGTTTCTCGACTCTCATGGTGGTTAGTGGTGGCGGGCGGCGGGGCAGACCATGCCCTAACTGTGGTCAGCGGCGGCTTGAGGCATCTCTCGGACGGGTACCTCCGGCGGCATGGGCCCGTGTGGACACGTGAGATGGCGCGGGAAGCGGATTGTAGGTGTGGCGCCCGGATGACCCGTCTGTTCGACGTCCAGGCGCTAACGGTGCCGATTGCGTTTCCTCCTGTGATATTGAATCGATTTCTACTAAACTTGTATATGATTAATTAAAAATCCTGTTTTCCAAACATATTTGAATAGTAAAATTAGGTCTTCATTTTTTTTGACCTCGCATTGCTCTCTCTATGTTTTTAGCGAGGCGCATTGTTCACTGATGCATATGTTTGGTGAACTATTATTTCCTTTTTTTCTTTTGTTTTCTCGTTCCAAATAGACTGTCACGTGCGGCGTGCCGCCCGCTCTAAATGCTTTTCATCAAAATTAAACCTGTGCACTAAATTAAGGAAGTGGATCCAATGACGTTTGTGCCCTTCAGTTATTATTAAGTATATAGGAGTACGTAAGAACGGAAATGAATATGTATAGAAGTTCCAAAACAACTTGTACTTGGAATCATATGGAGTATTTTGAATTCGTAGAATATCCAGCTCGGGCAATTTATGGGTTTCCACCAAGAGAACAAGAATATGATGTTGTCTTCTTCTCTTTTTAATTAGCTAGACGGATAGTCAACGCGTTAACCACAGATGATTTAAAATAAAATTAAACTATTCATACTTATTTAGTTACGTAAAGCAATAAATTATTATAAATAAATGGTTATTAGATGGTATGACATGTTAATGTAGACAACTAAATATGTATAGAATGATGTGGATAGTTTAAATGAAGAGATAACTATCATATTGCACGTGCTAATGGGCTACGCTTGAGCTATTTTTCAACCATGGAATAATATTTTTCTCTCAAAACATTTCAGCATAAGCATCAGCATAAGCGAACAGGATGAATGTGGATAGCTTGCACGAAGAGATAGACATGCTAGTGGACATAAATAGCATGAATAAAGAAATAATTATCATAATTACACGTGTTAATGGGCTGCTAATGTGGATAGCTCGAATGAAGAGATAGACACACTAGTGTTTTTTTTATATAAATATAAGATATGTAGATATAGATTTGATTCTTTGACCTATCAAAAAGAAATGATAAAACATAACAAATATATGGTATAATATTTTTCCTCTATAGATCCAGAGACACAGCCGTGCTTATCAACTTAGAAAACCACTACTAATCATCCATCTATTTAAAGTAGATTTGATTCTTTGACCTATCAAAAAGAAATGATAAAACACAACAAATACCAGTTATATTTAGTGAGACCCTCTATAGATGACAGATGCACAGGAGAATTCGCTTAAGTTAGCTGCCTAATCATCCATCTATTTAAAGGCTATATACATATTTGTACAAAATCCAAAAACCAGTCAACCCCATAAACAATCATCCTAAGAAAAAACCACAGAAAGACTCACCTCCTACGCGGCCGCCACTTTCATCATCAGCAACGCCAGCGCCACCGTCACGGCGTCACCCACCCTCTCGCGGACTGCGGACAGCAGAAACCATCACATCAAACCGGAAACCACCCTTCCCTCCAGAAATCGAGACCATTCTCCCCTTTTCCTTCCCCTTCTCCACGCTTCTTTTAGTTCTTCCCCGTTGGCTTCCAGAGAGGAAACCATTCTTTTTCACCCCGCGGGAGATCCACGCATCCACAGCCGAGCAGCGGAGCTCGATCGCGAGGCTTCTAGAGAGTCGGGGAGAGTTCTGAGTTCTCCAATGGCGTCGTCCCACATCATCCTGCCCAAGGAGGAGGAGGAGGAGGCGGCGGCGGTGGCGGAGGCCGGGTTGGGCGTGGCGGTGGAGGCGGACCACGACTCCCCGGCGCAGCGGCCGTACCAGGAGCAGGCGCCCGGGAAGGCGGCGCTGCCGTTCTCGGCAACGTGCGTCCGGATCTCCCGCGACTCGTACCCGAACCTCCGCGCGCTGCGGAACGCGTCCACCATGGCACTCCACGATGATGACGCCGCCTTCGTCAAGATCGAGGAGGGCGACTACGGATACGTGCTCGACGACGTCCCGCACCTCACCGACTACCTCCCGGACATCCCCGTGAGCGCCGCAACCCCCCTCCCTTGCTCTCTGGTTGCCCCGTTGCCCGATCTGTGGTTCCTCGGTGAAAAATGCTAGTAATACTATGAATTATAATGATGGAATTGGGGATCGTTTTGGGCCCGAAGATGTGGATTAAGAGTCAGCTTCGGTACCATTAAAAAAAAAAAACTCGTGAAGTTTCGGTGTTACGGGGCGGTGGTTTTGTTTGAGGATGTTTGGGGATTGGTCGAGGCGCGAGCTGCAGTTTTAAATAATTCTATGATGTGGCAGTTTTGTGACTCTTGTCAGGCGTCAGCGTGCAGACAGCTCGTTAGCTGGGGTACTACTATGATCCAACAAAAATGTAATATTACTCGTCTCCTATCGAAATTGAGACTGTCGTGTGGATCTCATGCCTCCTTGCGTCTATGACTTTGTGTTATTAGGTTCTTTTGTTAGATGTCTTGTTTCCATGCTTCTGGAAGGAATTGCTTGTACTAGTCGGCAACCTGTCGAGTTACTTATATTAGTTGGCAACCTGTCCTCGCTGATCTCAATCATCTACGTGTCAAATTCACAGGAAACATGGCATTTCACCTGTTTACTTGTCTATTTTTGGTTTTAAGTTCAAGTTGAAATGAAGTCGTTTTCGAGGTGACATCATAAGGGTTAATCTAATAGTTTCCCTGTTTGATTTTCATGGCAGACTTTTTCTAATCCTTTGCAAGATCATCCGGCGTATTCAACTGTCAAGTGAGGTTTTCTTTCTATTTGACTTTTCTGCTTCTTTCTGATAACCTCTAATCATTCTAGTTGTGCAATCTGTCAAACTGAACTTTCTATGCACACATTCACCAGGCAATATTTTGTCAATGCAGATGATACAGTCCCTGAAAAGGTAAAATAATATCAGATGTGATTGTTCCGAATGTCAATGTTGTTTGTTTGAGTGGTGATTGGTGAAATGACATGTTCTTTGTCTACCACAGGTGGTTGTTCAGAAGAACAGTCCACGAGGAGTTCACTTCCGTCGTGCTGGACCTCGTCAGAGGGTATGACGCCTTCGACACAGTTATACACCTATACCATTTGTGAGCAATGCATTATTTTCATATAGTATAACATAAATATTCAACCCTCAGGTGTATTTTGAGTCAGAAGAAGTGAAAGCTTGCATTGTAACCTGTGGAGGCCTTTGCCCTGGGCTCAATACTGTCATCAGAGAGTTGGTGTGTGGCTTGTCCCACATGTACAACGTTAGCAATGTCTTTGGAATACAGGTTTGATTCGTTCCAGATTACCTATATCGATGATGGGTGATATTATTTTGTGTTACTATTCTTTCCGCACAGTCAACTGGTCCTTTCTTTCTTTTTGAAGGAAAAAGACGTTGAGTCTTGATATTTGGCATGTAAAACTCTTGCAATAAATAAATATGAATTTTGCAAATTTGAAGTCAGTTAACAATTCATTTTGGTTGCATTGTGATGAAATAGTTGCAGGTTCTGGAATCTTCATATTTTATTGTCTGATGTAGGAGCAGAATTTTTGTGATGTACATTACCAATTGTTACGAACTTTGTCCAGCTAGTGGTTTTGCCATGACAATGTATGCATCATGATTGCAGTGAATCAGTGCGATCAAACTTCAATCCTATTTGCAGTCTATCCATGAAACATCTCTGTCATCATGTAACATGTTGTAAGCAATTTTGCAGAATGGGTACAAGGGATTCTATTCGAGCAATTATCTTCCCATGACACCAAAGAGTGTCAATGATATCCACAAACGAGGTGGTACAGTTCTTGGAACATCACGAGGTGGCCATGATACCAAAAAGATCGTTGACAACATTCAAGATCGTGGAATTAATCAGGTATGTGCTTGCTGATTAGTGTTTCTTTGCATAACCCTTATTTTGGAGGCTGCTAAATGTTCTTTACCACATCTAGGTGTACATTATAGGAGGAGATGGAACTCAGAAGGGTGCATATGAGATTTACAAGGTAATCATTCTCATGAGTATGTTTGTACGTGCTTCAGAACTTCAGATACTGTCAAACCACGTCATCTGCACATTTCTGTGATGTCTGTTCAAGCGCACTCAAGCAGTAGGGATTTTGAATGTGCTCAATTTATGTATATGTATAGTTAAATGTTTTTATAGACAAATAGTGCGAAGAATTGTAATCCAGAAGTTAGGTTTTTATTATGCTCTATTTTAAAATTACTGCAGGAAATTCGGAGACGTGGTCTACAAGTAGCTGTTGCTGGTATTCCCAAGACTATTGATAATGATATAGCGGTAACTTTTGGCTACTTGTTCTTTTTTTCAGCTTGCATAGATGCTTTTGCTGCATACCTCTTGATTTGAAAGACTGTAGTGCAGAGACCTGGAGTATGCTGATTATTTGTATGTACATTGTTAGGTTATAGACAAGTCATTTGGTTTTGATACTGCTGTAGAAGAAGCCCAGCGTGCCATCAATGCAGCTCACGTGGAAGCTTCAAGTGCTGAAAATGGGATAGGATTAGTGAAGCTTATGGGTCGCTATAGTGGTTAGTTTCCCTGCCTACAAACTGAAGGATGCTCGCCCTTTGTCAAAGCGTAGTTTTTTTTTTTTTTTTTTGCGTTTTAACTCTTTCATTGTGTTGTCCTTACTGTGATACTTCCTTTATGTTGCAGGGTTTATTACCATGTATGCTACTCTTGCAAGCAGAGATGTGGTGAGTTAATGGCTTCTATTTATGCCTCAACTAATCCAGTCAATATTCTCTAGTTTCTTAAAGTGTTCTATTTTACATATTTGGCCCTGTTGCCCTTTTGGATTCTGTCACTTCGTAAATATAACCACTTAATATTCATAATCTTCTTTGAAGATGGAGCTAATTATATATTCACGTCCATCTTATGTAGGACTGCTGCTTGATTCCTGAGTCACCCTTTTATTTGGAAGGGGAGGGTGGACTATTCCAGTATATAGATAGGAGGTTGAAGGAGAACAACCACATGGTTATTGTTGTGGCGGAGGGAGCTGGACAGGATCTTATTGCTCAAAGTATACCTGCTGCAGATCAGCAAGATGCATCTGGAAATAAACTGCTTCTTGATGTTGGTCTCTGGTTGACTCACAAGATTAAGGTACATTCCTATTAGCCCATTTTCATCACTATACTCCATCTTGATTCCACCTTTTGTAACTATCGTTGCTTGAAATGGCAGTTTGACATGCACTTTGTGCGCATCTTTCTAATTTTCACTAAAACTACAAGAATGTACACATGGCTGTGACATGTCTTGGGTTTGAAACAAGTCTACCGTAGGCAAGTAAAAATGAAACTGCTGCTAGGTTTAGCAACTTAATGCCCAAGGAAATTTTTGTGCGACTTAGTATTGGGTTTGAAACGAGTCACTGATTTTCTGTGGTGTTGCTCCAAAGTTCTCTGAACAATTCTTTGCTGTTGCGATTTTCTGTGGTGTTGCTCCAAAGTTTCTCTGAACAATTCTTTGCTGTTGCATTATTGCTTTGTAGGATTATTGCAAGAGTAAGAAGATGGAGATGACTATTAAATACATAGGTAATCATCTTCTGTTTACTTCGTCAACACAGTGTTAGTTTGTAATTTATAGCATGTCAAGGAATCTGACGAAGTGCGTGCCTTTTTTTTATGTAGATCCAACTTACATGATCCGTGCTATTCCAAGCAATGCATCAGACAATGTCTATTGCACACTGCTCGCACATAGTGCCATTCATGGTGCAATGGCAGGATACAGCTTTACAGTCGGAATGGTTAATGGCAGACATGCATATATACCATTTCATGTGAGTATAACTTTCTGCATCCCTTTCATAAACAGGGATAATATTAGTATGCCCCTTTCTGCCAGTTTTTTCATTCTCAGAACACGCAGGACAGCTGTATATCATTTCATTGAGAAGAAAGGGAAATACAAGGGAAAGGGAGCAAGCTCCCAAACCCCGACACACCCTTTAATAGAAATTACAAGGTTTCACCATGCACACAAACATGCGACCAGAAGTACCCAAGGACAGTAGCTACCTGTCATCCTTAGATGCCTGAACTTTTCGGTACATTTTGACAATCTTGCTCGCTGCATACCTGAAAAGAAATGAATTCAACTCAGTGTAGTGCTGAACAAGTCTTGTGCTCGATTGAACAAGCACATAAGGAATCTACACTAACCAGTAGCAATCGCATTGCACTGCACTAGGTTTGAATTTGCAGTGCACCTCGGTAGACATTGAAGCTTAACTAGAATTTCTTTTGTATATCTGCTTCCAAAGAGAGTTGCGATATGTCTTCTGGCAGGAAAGAGAGTTGCTTCCATATGGGACAGACACAATTCTTCCCTGTCTCTCGTAATGTTACTCTTGCAATCTACATGACTAAATTTATTCTGACCACAGAGGGTAACGTCTACAAGGAACAAGGTGAGGATAACTGACAGGATGTGGGCGAGGTTGCTGTCTTCAACCAACCAGCCGAGTTTCCTGAGCCAGAAAGACATCGACGCGGCCAGAGAAGCCGATAAGGCGGCCAACCGCATGAAGAGCGGAGAGGATGCGAAGAATCAATCTGCACCAGTGTTGGCAAATGGTGAGAAATAGTATGCCTTTGGCGGTTCTTTGTTGTGTACAGTAGCTGCTGCAAACTGACTGAGGTCAGTAGGCCAAAACTGCGAATTCGATGAGTTTTTCTTCAATTTGCATCCGAACAGAATTCACGTAATAAAAGCTTCATAGTGTGTATTTGCGTTAGTAAGCATATACTAGTGCTCTGCAATTTGCTTGTGTTGGTCGTATGTGCCGTACTGCCGGTGGCCTCCATCAGCTGCCGTTGCGGTTCATCTGAAGCAAGGCAGTGGCCACAACAGATACTCTGGTGTGAGCGGCAGCTCTTCTACTGGAAAGTTTCCTGTGACCGTGTCTCCGGTGTGACGATATCACGAGAGGTTACTCTTTCCGCTGCTCAATGTATCTTCCCGTGTCCCACCAAACTAGCCGTCGATCGTCCATGGACCATGATCCTCTTTGTTCATGTTGGGCTCACCTCAAGTTGTGTGATTGTGTCTTACTTTCGTCCGAGTGCTTTGCACGTCGGTGGTTGCGCTTGGTCAGCAGGTTTCCATGCTCAGTTCTTCCCTGATGGCCCTACGTTTTTGCATGGGGAGAAGGCATAGACGGCCTCGAAGCGCAACCCGCCGCGCCGACACCACCACAGCAGCCGGCAACCGATGTTCCTGTGCCAGTGCCACAAATTGCAAGACCGGACGTCGACAACGCGAGGGCACCTGAATCCGTCAATGCGGACGACGCCGGTGCAGCTGCAGGTGATCAGGAGGTGCAGGCGAACCAAGAAGCAGAAACCGCGGAGACCGACGTTGCAGGTGGAACCCTGACGCAGGCGGAGGTGAAGCCGACGGCACCCGGAACAAACGCCTCGTGGTCGTGGCCCGCGACACCACCGGACACGACAGAGCGCGACGACGTGGCGCCGGCGCCTCGAACCGAGCACGCACAGGCGGCCGAGACCGAGATGGAGCCGGACGTCGACACCGCGAAGCCCGAAGGCTGCACCACGCCGCCGCCGCCGCCGGTGCACGACTCGGAGGGGTCCGACACGCAGAGCGCCGACGGCCGCGGGAGCCCAATGCACGGGATGCAGGCGGGCGCGAGCGTGAAGCGGGACGTTGCTGCCTCCAAGTCGAGGCTGTTCGCGTTCCGGTCATTCACGCGGGACAAGAAGGTGATCAAGCCCGACGGGGCCGCAGACACGGCATCTCCAGATAGAGGCAAGGCGGGGGAGGCGGGCGCGAAGAACAAGGAGAAAGGCAAGGGAAGGAGGAAGAGATTCTGGAAGTGATCGATGTGGTCTCCTAGTTTTTGCCATGCACATCGCGCCGGGCACGTCACACAACGATGACTATTGTAGAATGCATTGTGGTGGTGCAGTTTAATATAACCTTTTATTTAGCACCATGTAAGTATCATGATATAGGTAGAAACATGAATTTATTGATTCTCTTTTCATGTAATGATTTGTCTACAGTTGAAGTTACGAGCACGACGTTGGTGCCAGATTGTTGTATAGGAATGGCTTTATCCTTTTGGACATCGTTTTCTTTTCATTCTCACAACATCGTCCGGAAAACGTTTCCAAAATTAGTTTGATAGCAATACGTTGATGAAAGAAATAGGTTAATCCCATAGCCTGCCATTTAAATTCTAGTGTAAGAACAGAAATGCCCTGCAATTTAAAATCTAGAGTAGAAATCAGAAATAGTTACATCCCACCAATCTGTCGGGGTTCTATGAAAAGATTGAATATCAGACCATGCTAAGCTAGGTTTATGTTTATCATTTCATTATACGATTCAAATTTCTTTTTAGACAAAAGGTGGTCCAAATGAAGACGCTAGTCCTGAGCATCGTAGTGAGGATTATTACAGTTCGGTTCAATCGCAAGCTCAGACTGAATCACACCGACGGAGACCTGATCCAAAGACTGAGAAGCCTGTTACGGCGTGGGCGAGTAGGATGAGGAGAGTGGAGTAGTAGGCTGCATTGAGAATTTGAACGCAGAGGATAGCGAGGAAGTGGTGCAGCGGGAGGTTCGCCGACGGCAGAATCGCTCGTAGCCACCATCGAAGGGAAACCCACCCACCTTGGGAGGTTTATTCCTTCTTCGATAATCTGATTACAATCTCTAAGATCCCCTTTATAGGATAGGTGCACCTCTAACAAACCATAATAAATCTCCTAAATACCAAAACTGATCTCCTAAATCTCCTCCCTTCCTCTCCTAACATAACTAGCCGAACCCCCTTATTAGCCACGACTGGGCCTAGGCCGGCGCCTATACTGACGCCCAACAAAGACGTCTATAACACTTTCCTCCTCCCCAACAAATAGCTCGTCCGTGAGCTGGAATGCTAGATAGCGCTCTTTGAAGTCATCAATGTCTTCCCAAGTAAAATCAACCGCCGGACGCCCCTCCCAATGGACAAGGAGCTGCTAGCGACCACGGTTCAAGCGAGCACGCACCACCGCAGCCGGAGTAGAAATGACACGCCCATGAAGCGTGGTCGGAAGTGGAACAAAACAATGGCGCCTGGAGGATCCCCTTCATACTTCTTCAGCAGCGCCACATGAAAAACATCATGAATGCGAGCCTTTGGCGGAAGCCGCAGACGATAAGCCACATCGCCCAAACGCTCAACAATCAGATAGGGCGGTGATGGAGGCGGAGCAGAACCCAGCAGCTGTGCGGTGATGGAGGCGGAGCAGAACCCAGTCACCCACAACAAACTCCACAAATCTGCGCTTCTTGTCATGGATCTCCCTCATAGTGTCCTGAGCCAACACCAAACAATCACGGATGTCCAGAAGGAACTTGCCACGGTCACGAAGCTGACGATCAACAGCAGCTACGTGAGCTGTCCCAGGAAGATAGGAGACCAGCGATGGCGGAGACCGGACATACACCACCTCAAATGACGTAGCTCGAAGGGAAGACTGGTAGGAAGTATTATAGTAGAATTCAGCCCAAGAAAGCCACTGCAGCCAAGAACGAGGTCGATCCCCCGCTAAGCAGCGCAGGTACATGACTATGATTCGGTTAGTGACCTCGGACTACCCATCTGTCTGTGGGTGAAATGCAGAACTGCGTAGCAAGGTCACACCATCCAGCTTGAAGAGCTCCTCCCAGAAGGTGGTGGTGAAGACGGTGTCCCGATCACTCACAATAGAACACGGGAACCCATGTAGCCGCACTATGTTGTCGAAAAAGGCACGAGTGACGGAGTTGGCTGAGTAAGGATGGCTCAAGGCGATGAAATGTGCCATCTTAGAGAAGCGGTTGACCACAGTGAGGACCACAGACTTGCCGCCCACACATGGGAAGCCCTCGACGAAGTCCATGGTGACGTCGCTCCACACATGATCCGGAATGGGCAGGGGCTACAGAAGACCAGCTGGGTGCAGGTGCTCAGTTTTGTTGCGTTGACAAACGACGCAACCCTTGATGTAGTCACGAACCAGCCGATGCGCGCGCCGATTGTAGAAGGACGCGCGCAGCCGATGAAGCATCTTCTGGGAGCCTTCATGACCTGCATGTGCCTCACGCAGCAGCTGAGGCCAGAGCGCTGAGCCATCGGGGACGAAGGGACGGCCTTGGAACAGCAGCAGCCCATCCACCAACGTCCAGCCGTCTGGCGTTGTACCAGCCAGAACCTACGCCTGGAGAGCTCCTGAGCCTGAGGATCGCGCTGGACTGGAGCGCGTAGGTCGTCATAGAGGGTGAACGAGGGTCTAGAGAACGCCTGTGTAGCCATGGCGCCGGAGTCTTCATCACGGCGTGACAACGCGTCCGCCACTGTGTTCAGCTTCCCTGGCCTGTACTCGACGGAGAGGTCGTAGCCAAATAACTTGGTGACCCAAGTATGTTGCGGAATCATAGTTAAGCATTGGTCCAGGATGAACTTCAAGCTCCAATGATCCGTCCGCACGGTAAAAGCACGGCCCCAGAGATAGGGCCGCCAATGATGAACTGCTTTGACGAGGCCAATCAACTCCCGCTCATACGCCGGAAGCTTGGCATGGTGGGGCGCTACAGCACGGCTGAAGAAGGCCACCGCACCATCTCCTTGGTGGAGGACTGCACCAAAACCAGCCCTGGACGCGTCACAGTCGACGATGAACCGCTTGGAGAAGTCGGGCAGCTGGAGCACCGGCGTCGAGACGAGGGTGGCTTTGAGGGTGACAAAGGCGGCGTCTGCCTCTGCCATCCAAGAGAAGCCCTCGCCCTTGAGGAGAGCCGTTAGAGGGGCAGCCACACCGCCGTACCCGACGATGAACTTGCGGTAGTAGCCGGTGAGTCTAAGGAAGCCGCGAAGAGCCCGGGCCGTGCGTCGACGGGGCCAGGCCTCCACAGCAGCCACCTTGTCGGAGTCCATGGCAACGCCCTCGGCTGAAATGATGTGGCCGAGGTATGCCACGGACTGTTTGCCGAAGAAGCACTTCAAACGCTTGGCGAAGAGGCAATGATCCCGCAGCTGCTGTAGCACTGTCCTGACATGTTGTAAGTGTTCGGACCATGATGAACTAAAAATGAGTATATCATCAAAGAAAACAAGTACAAAATGCCAAAGAAATGGCTTCAGGACGTCGTTCATCAGGGCTTGAAAAGTCGATGGCGCATTCGTCAAACCGAATGGCATGACAAGAAACTTAAAGTGGCCCTGATGTGTGCGGAAGGCCATCATGTGGATGTCATCCGGATGCATTCGCACTTGGTGATACCGGCTACGGAGGTCGATCTTGGAGAAGAACCGAGCGCCCTTCAGTTCATCCAAGAGTTCATCGATGACCGGAATAGGAAATTTATCCTTCACGGTGGTGTCGTTGAGGGCGCGGTAGTCAACACAAAACCAGCCAGTTGTTGTCGTGCTTGCGGACAAGGAGCACCGGGGAGGAAAAAGGCGATGTCGACTCCCGAATGATCCCTTGTGCCAGCATGTCGTCGCACTAGTGTTCGATCTCGTCCTTCAGCAACTGGGGGTACCGGTACGTTCGTACCGCCACCGGCGCTGAGGCTGGCAGGAGGTGTATACGATGGTCTTGCCGACGCTCTAGGGGCAGGCCATGCGGCGTGGCGAAGACGTCCTCAAAGGACTGGAACAGCTCCTTCAGCACGGTGCAAGGATCAGCGATGGCGCGGGTCGTGACCCCTCGGCCATCCATGCCGAACCAGTGATGGGCGCGACCGTTGAACCAGAACAACATCGAAAGGGCGGCGAAGTCTCAGACGATGGGTCCCAAGGTCTGCAGCCACTGGACGCCAAGGACGAGGTCGAATGCACCCAGATCAAGCGCGAAGCAGTCGATGGCGAAGCGCTCGTCGTGGATGGAGACGTCAACTGTGGCACAGACACCGAGGCTGGGCATGCGGTCACCATTGGCGACTAAGACCGAGAGACCAGCGCGTTCTATGATCGGCAGTCCAAGACATCGGGCCACCTCCGAGTGAATGAAAGTGTGGGTAGACCCTGTGTCCACCAACGTCTTGAGCGGAACGCCGCCAATGACCACCTGCAGCATCATAGAATCAGAAGGCCCAAGGCCGACGAGAGCGTGCAAGGAAATCTCCAGATCGTTGATGTCGCCCAACGGGTCCTCCTCTCCATCAGCCAACTCCATGAGGAAGACGCCCCATGCAACGCATTTGTGCTCCTTGTTGTACGGCTCTGGACAGAAGTAACACTGCCCATTTTGGCGCTTCGCCTGGATCTCAGCCGACGTGAGACGGCGGAAACGATGGCGTGGCCCCTTTGTCTTGCCGTCCTGTGTAGCGGCAACACCGCCAGCAGCAGCAGCGCCTACAGCACTTGACGAGGCAGTGGCACGACGAGTAGATGACTTGGGCGGCGTCGAGCTGTTGACAGTAGACGCCTCCACCTACCGCTGTTCGTATGCTCGCGCCAAGCTCATGGCTTGCTGCAGATTGACAGGGTGTTGTAGCTCGACGTCGGAGGCCAGGGGCTGACCCAAGCCACCAGTGTAGAGGTCAATTGCTGTTCACGTGGAGAGGTTGTCACAGCATCAGAGCAAGGCCAGGAAGCATCGCGAGTACTCTTCCACGATGCCCGTGCAGACCAAGGCCTTGATCTCACCGACAGAGTTGGTGCGGATGGGCGGCCCAAAACGGAGGTTGACGAATTCAACAAAGCGTGGCCAAGAGACCATCCCGAAGTCACGCTCCATCTGGTAGTACCATTCAGCAGCGGTGCCATCCAATTGTAGGGACGCCATCCACACCTTCTCGTCCTCCGGCACGCGATGCCCTCGGAAGTAATTGTCACACTT